CATGATCATAATGATTGGCAGAAGAGGATAGAAGGGCTGAATGGCCTACTCCTGTTTCCTAGCTTCTGTCCTGACCCCTCAGCCTCCACAGCTCCAAGGAAAACCGCCCCATTCTAGCCCATCTGACAGCTCGGACGTTTGTCCAGAATTCCTCCCAGGTTATGGTGCACCGTCACTGTGTGGGGCTCTTTAATCACACCGATTCAATGGCACTCACCAGCATTGTGTGCTGCTCCGATTACTGCATACTCCAGATTGCCGGCTGCTGCCCCTTCACCAGAAGCTTGGGATCTATTTCTAGTAGAAAGGGAAAGGGAAGGAAATTGTCATGTCAAACACAATGCTTTCAACACCACGCTCAGCTTCAACAAAACAGCAAAGCTGTCACGGAAAATACAAAGCCCAGTGAGACCCTGTTATTCCTTGGTCCCACATCCCTGGTTTCCATCCGAACATGGAGCTTTCTCACCCCCAAGGAGCTGCCCAAATCCACATCTGGTTTTCACTAATGTCATTTGAGGAAGGGAATCTGCCGTCCTTACCTGGTCTGGCCTGCATGTGATTCCAGAAGCTGGTTAACTATAACTGCCCTCTGGGGCAGTTAGGGATGGGCAATAAATGCTGGCCCTGCCAGTGACACCCACATCCCTGTGAATGAATAAAAACCACCTGGGACCTTCCAGACGTAAGGTTTCCTGGTTTGTTAGGCTCATGTTAAAAGGATACGGTAATACTCAAGCTTCCCTCTTCGTACTCTTTCCCTAAGAGGAATCTGGATAACAATGTAAAATATAAAATCTGCAGTTTCATCCCCTTACCTCTTGGGCTGTGACACAGTTGAGGAATTGCCTGCAGGGAGAGAGAGAACATTCTCAGCATATTGCACTGTTACAGACAGGAGCTGCCAAGACCTTTACTCAGTCATAAACAGAACAAACACATCAATAGATGAGAATTGTCAAACCCATCTTAATGCACATTAACCAGCTGTGAAAGGGACAGGGTCAGGGTTAGGGTTAATGTGTGAGTGAGGGCCAAGGTTAGAGTTAGGGCTTGGGTTAGGGTTAGTGATTAAGTTTAGGGTTAGGATTCGGGTTAAGGATTGGTTTAGGGTTCAGGTTAGCATGAGGGTTAAGGATTGGTTGAGGGTTAGGTTTAGCATTAGGGTTAAGGATTGGTTGAGGGTTAGTGTTGGGATAGTTTCCGGTTGGGGTGAGGCTTAGTGTTCAGTTTAGGATTAGGTTTAAGTTTAGGGTTAGTGTTCGGGTTTTAGTCAGCATTTGGCTGAGAGCCAAGATTAGAGTAAGCATTAGGTTTGGGTTTAGGACTAGGTTTTAGTTTAAGGTTAGGTTTGAGTTTAAGGTTAGTGTTAGGATTAGCGGAAGGGACTCGAGGGAGCTGAATGGCCTCCTCCTGTTCCTGGTTCACATGATCTTATGTCTCTCCTCTTCTCTGAGGTGACACGGAGTGGGGGTAGTGATCACATTTACCCGATCCAGGAGGCTAACTTTGTGAGTGCTCTCCCTCCCTACTGTCAGGAACACACCCCAGTTCCTGACCCATCACCTCCTTCCCCGGGTCCTCCACCCTCACCCTGTTCAGCTGAAAAGGTTACACTGGGGCGGGGACGGCAGTGCCATGCCCCGGGGAACAACCCATCCCCGTGGGACGTTACAGACCTGTGTCCCTCCTCCGGTGGATGAACCACACCGACTCGATCAGGCCGCCGAACAGCAAAACTGGGACGAGCGAGGCCGCGATCTCCTTGGAAAAACTCCGAGCTGAAATCCAACAACAATATCCGGCTCACGCTAACAAATTCACCGGGAAGTTTTACCACATCAGCCCTGTGTGAGGTACACGGTTAGCATCAGACTGACTAACCCCTGCAGATACGTAACTCCCTGCCACTATGGAGAGTCACACAGGGTGGAAGAAATTGGCCCATTGAGCTCCCTGCACCGAACCCACTTTCTCGCACCAGCCCCTGATAGCCTTGAATGTTTTGACACTTTGAGCGCTCATCCAAGTACTTGTTAAAGGTTATCAGGTTTCCAGCCTCAACTACCCTCCCAGGCAGTGCAGTCCGGAGCACCCACCACCCACTGAGTGAAACAACCCTCAAATCACCCTCTGTACCTCCTGTCTTCTACTTTAAAATGAATCTCGCCTTATTATTCACCCTTGCACTCAGATGAACAGCTGCTCGCTATCCCCCCCTCCCCCACCGCCGTCCCTGAACCTCAGACTTACACACCTCTATCAGCTCCCCCTCAGCCTTCCCTGCTCCAAAGAAAACAGCCTGAGCTTATGGAGCCTCTCTTCATCGTTGAAATGCTCCACCCCAGGGCAACATCCTGGTGAATCTCCTCTGCATTCACCCCTCCATAAGACTCAGACTTCCAGATTTTTATTGCGCTCAAATTCTGCCATCGGGTATGAGTAGGATTTGAACTGGAATCTTGGGAACATGACCAAGGTAGTTGGATTAATAACCTCACGATAATACCACCCAGCCGTCACCTTCCTAATTGAGATGGTTCATTGTTTCTGACTGGCACAGACTGGATGGAGCGAATGGCCTTTCTCTGTGCTCTGTCTATGTTTGATCTGACTGTCACTGTTACCTCGCAGCGTGAATTCGATATAGTCGCTGTTCACGTTAAAAATGGTGCCGTTGGTTCCGTCGTTGATCGCAGCACAGTGATAGCTCCCGACATTGTCTCTCCGGAATGAATGAACAACGAGCTCACCACCATCGGCAGTCACATGGGAGCTCGCACTGCCGTTTCTTAGCGGCACGTTGTCACGGCACCAAATGAACTGGGGCTCAGTGCCTTCCCTCACCAGGCACCGGAGAACAAGGCGGTCCCCGGGCTGTATCTCAGTCCCGTTGGTGCGGGATATCAGCACAGCATCTGTGACAGGAACTGAGGAGAAAACACACCGAGTTCAAAAACCATGGAGTTCGCCCATTGATTGAGGCTATGCCCCCTTGTGATTGACCCCTCAAGAGAGAAACACTTTCACTCTTTTCACCCTGTCCAAACCCCTCATCATCATAAACATCTCAAATATGTCCCTCCTCAGTCTTCTCTGCTCTAAAGAAAACAATCCAAGCCGATTTTTGCTCAATAACTACAACCCAGGAAGCACCTGGCAAACCTTCTCTGTACCTCCTCTAGTGTTCCCATATCCTTCCTGTAATGAGGTGACCAGAAATGCACACAGCACTCCAGAAAGTAACCGTCGCTCCTTAATCGTTCAATGGTGTTATCATCACTGAATTCCCCCGCTATCAACATCCTGGAGTTTATCATTGACCAGCAACTAAACTGGATTATAGCCAAATAAATACTGTGGTACAGGAGCAAGTCAGAGGCTGGCAATCCTGCAAAAAATAATTCACATCCTACCTTCCAAAACCCTGTCCCCCATCGACAACACACAAGTCAGGAATGTGATGAAATACTCCCACTTGCCTGGACACTCAAGAAACTTGACACCACCCAGGACAAAGCAGCCTGATTGATTGGCACTAGATCCACAAGCATCCCTCCCTCCATCACCGATACTCAGTAGCAGCAGTGTGTACCATCTACAAAATGCACTGCAGACATTCAACAAAGATACTCTAGATAGCTCCTTCCACACTCACATCCACTTCCATATAGAAGGAAAAGGGCAGCAGATACATGGGAACACCACCTCCTGCAAGTTACCCTCTGAACCACACACCATCCTGACTTGTAAATACGTCAGCCGTTCCTTCAGTGTCACCTGGTCAATTTCCTGGAATTCCCTCCCGAAGGACACTGTGGGTCTAACTACAACACATGGACTGCAGTGGTTCAAGAAGGCAGCTCACCACCAGCTTCTCAATGGGGCATCGAGGGACAGGGACAATAAATACTGGGCTGAGCCCATGTCCCACAAGTGAATAAATAACTGTCAATGTTGTCGGCATGTCTCTCATCATTCACCAAACATTGCACCTTGTTTGTTGTATATAATTTAAGTTCAGTTCGTTCTTAGAATCAGGAAGTGAGAAACAATCTCAGTCATGTTGAAACTGGATGGCTCTTGAAATCCTGCTGAACAGAGACAAAAGGGTGTCGTTGGGAGAAGCAAAACAGCCATCCTTCCCAAGCCTGGAACTCCATGTGACTCCAAATCAAAAGTGAAGGGAATTATTTCTAATTGCCCTCTGAAAGGGCTAAGCAAATCACTCCCTTCTCAGATTTTGTTTTTGACAGTATTCTCACTAAATTGCAATTCAATAAACAAACACTCAAATACACCCACCCATCCTGATAATCATCGACACTTGACCAATCACCTCCCTTTACTCTCGAAACGCCTGGTGTTCTGTCCACAATCAACACTTTGTTCATTAATGTAACACTCTTTGATATTTTGGTCAGAAGACCAGGAGAGATCGGGACCGGAGTTGGTTCTCCAGTGAAATATCCAAACAAATATTCAGGGGGTGGGAAAGACTTTTGGAAATGACAGGGAGGGAGGCAGTGTCAGTGATGTAGCTCTGTATGAGATGGAATATGTATGACAGCAATAAGCGTGATCTCGAATCAGATGGTGGAGAATCTATTCTGGGCGGAGTGAAGGCGAAACTGGTTGGAGTTTAGAAGAATGAGGGGAGGCATGGAATCTCATAAAAACCTTTAAAATTCTAAGAGGTGTAGAGAGGGTAAACAGAGGAAGGATGTTCTTGATGAACAGTGTGGGGAGTCCAGAACCAGGGAGTCACAGCCTAAAGGCGACGGGGTAGGATTGAGATCGGGAGAAATGGCTTCACCCAGAGAATGGGAAGTCTGTGGAATTCTCTGCCACAGAAAGCAGTCAGGGACAGAACATTGAATGTTATTCAGAAATGAGTTGGATAGAGTTCTTAAGGACTAAAGGGGGAAAGCATGGAACAAGGGACTGAGTTGGATGATCAGTCACAATCCCAATGATTGGGCGGGGCAGGCTGGAAGGGCCAAATGGCCCACTCCAGTTCCTATTTTCTATGGTTCTATGTTAACAGGATGTAGAATTGGATGATCTGCCATGGTCATGTTGAATGGCGAAGCAGACTTGAAGCGCTGAGTGCTCCTATATTCTAGGAGCCAAACTTTTGACGTAAGAAGCCTTAAGAAATGGATTGAACTCCGCGACTTTATTTATCCAGTTCCATTTTCCCTCTCTATGGTGTTTAATTCAGATAAATGAGAGATGTTACATTTTGGTAAGGCAGACCTGGGCAGGACTTTGACAGTTAATCGTAGTGCCCTGGGGAGTGGTACTGAACCAAGAGACTTAGGGACTCTGGTATATAGTTCCTTGAAAGTGGAGTTGCAGATAGACAGGGTGTTGAAGACGACGTTAGGCACGCTTGCCTTCATCAGTCAGAGCATTGAGTATAGGAGTTGGGATGTCATATTACGGCTGCATAGGACATTGATGAGGCCATATTTAGGGTACTGTGTACAATTCAGTTTGCCCTGCTACAATTCAACTGCAAAGGGTGCAAAAAAATCTGCAAGGATGTTACCAAGACTGGAAGTTTTGAGTTATAACAAGAGGATGGATAAGTTGGGACTTCTCTCTCCTGGGGTAAAGGAGGTTGAGGTGTGACTTCATGGAGATTTATAAAATCATGAGGGGAATAGATAAGGTGAATAAAGCCAAGGTCTCTTCCTTGGGTCGGGGAGTGTAATACCGGAGGGCATAGGTTTAAGGTCAGAGGGAAAAGAACCCGAGGGGAAATGTTTTCACACAGAGGCTGGTTCGTGTATGGAACAATCTGGCAGAGGAAATAGTGGAAATGGGTGCAACGACAACATTTAAAAGACATTTGGACAGGGAGACAGATAGGAAAGGTGTAGAGGGACGTGAACCAAACACAGGCAAATGGGACTAGTTCAGTTTGAGAAACCTGGTCAGCATGGGCATGTTGGGCCAAAAGGCCTGTTTCCATGCTGAATATCTCTATGACTCTAATATCCAAGGCTGCATCGCGTGAGTCAAAAGTGTCGTCTTCAAGGATGAAGCACCAACTTTGAGCTGATCACAACAGCAGTAGTCCCCGAGGCGATGGTTCAGTTACTCTGTGGGAGAGAGTCCTTGTGACCTCACCTATCACTATGATCTCCACTTCTTCACTGTGCAGAGGGCCTGTCACCTCATTTCTCACCGAGCAATGGTACATCCCTTTGTCCCTTCTGCTGATGCCTTCAATGTTGTAAACAAGCTTGGTACTGTTGGAAAGTTCCCAGTACAGTTTCATGCTTGAGCCCTTGTAGAATTGGTAATAAATCGGCAGAGAACCATTGGAGACTGAACAGATTAAGAATCCTGCATCTCCTTCGATTAGCTTCTTTCTGGGTTGAATTATTAGTTCTGGTTTTGACACTGGAATTCCTGTAAATATAGACAAATGTTAGGTCCCTTCATTTGGCAGAGTTAATTGTAAACTCAACTATGAACCACATCATAGTCATATCCATTCTCATGTCCTTTTTTTTCTATTCATTCATTAGATATGCATGTCACTGGGTAGTCCAGCATTTATCACCTGTCCCTAACAGCACAGACAGCAGTTGGAGGTTGTGGGGCAAGAGTCACATAGATTCTCTCTTCAATTGAATTCAAGTTCCACCATCTGCCACGGCGGGATTCGAGCATAGAACATGATCTCAGTCTCCGAATTCATAGTACAGCACAAGAACACGTCCTTTGGCCCACCATGTCTGTGCCTGACCAAGATGCCATTCTCTCCTAATCCCATCTGCCTGCACGTGGTTACTATCTCTCTATTCCCTACTACTTCCTGTGTCTGTCTAAATGCCTCTTAAACATTGTACTCGTATGTGCTTCTACCATCTCCCCTGGCAACATGTGTCAGGCACCTATCACTTTTTGTGTAAAAACCTTTCCTGACACATCTCCTCTAAACATTCCCTATCGCACCTTAAAATTATGTCCCCCACCCGTAATAATAGACATTTCCACCCTGGGAGAAAGATTCAGACTATCCACCATGCCAGTACCTCTCAGAATTTTATATAGTTCGATCAAATTATCCCTCAGCGTCCGATGCTCTCGCGAAAACAATCCAAGTATGTCCAACCTGTCCTTATAACTAATACTCTCCAATCCAGGCACCATCCTGGTAAACCTCTTTTACACCCCCTCCACATCCTTGCTATAACGTGGGGACCAGAACTGCACACAATACTCCAAATGTGGCAGAACTAAAGTCTTATGCAGCTGCAGTATGACTTGCCAGCTTTTATACTCAATGCCCCAACCAATTGAGGTAAACATGCCATATGCCTTCTTTACTACCTTATCTCTCATGTTGCCACTTTCAGGGGGCTATGGAATTGCACCCTAAGATCTCTTTGTGTATCAATGTTCCTAAGGGTCCTTCCATTTACTGTATACTTTCCTTTCGCAGTTATCCACCCAAAAATACATCACCTCACACTAGTCCATACTAAAATCCGTCTGCCATTTCTCCACCCAATTGTCCAGCTGATCTATATTCTTCGATAACCTTCCTCACTATCCACAACACCACCCATTTTCAAGTCATCTGCAAACTTATTGATCAGACCACTTACATTTGCATCCACAACATTTACAATAGAGTTCCCAGCGCTGATCTTTGCCTAACACGAACAGTCTCGTGCTCCCCTGTTCACTTTTTCAGCAATTACTTTGATCTGAAGAAATTAATCTTCTGGAAATATAATGTTTCCTAAAGCAACTTAAGATATAAAATCCAGTTTGGTCCTCATCTAACAAAAGATCCAATCAAGTAGTATGGCAGATGTGATGGGCTGAATGGTCTAATTCTGGTCCTCTCTCTTCTGGACATCTCCAAAATTCTTGTTTTAAAAGAAGCAAAAGAGCTCAGCTCCCTCATATCTTCCATTTGAGAGGAAGTTCCAAAAATATGCCCTTCCTTGATGATGGAAGAGCCCAGAAAATCAGTGTAGAAGATCAGCTTGAAACATTCACAACAAGTGGCGAATGACATTCACAATACTGAAATGGTGGGAAATGACCATCTCCAATGAGACAGAGTCTAAACACTGCCCTGTAATATTCAATTATATTACCAGCACCGAATCTGCTCATTCTCAACATCCTGGAGGGGAAGGATACGGGGGCATGGGCTACCGTCAACAGATAATCTAATTACTGCCTCCTTACTTTCAATAGCATTACCAGCACTGATTTCCCACCTCCCCCCCCCCCCACCATTAACATCCTCGGAGTTATCATTGACCAGAACCTGAACTGCAGTGAGTAACTCACCTCCTCACTGTCCCACAACCTGTCCACCATTGACAAGGCACATATCAGGACGATGTTGGAATATTCCCCACTTGCCTGGGTGGGCGCAGCTCCAACAACACTTGAGAAGCTCAACACCATTCAGGGACAAAGCAGCCCCTGCTTGATTGGAATATCCACAAGCACCCACTCCCTCCAGCCCCAATGCTCATCAGCAGCAGTGTGTACTGTCTACAAGATGCAATACAGAAATTCACCAAAGGTCCTCAGCCAGCATCTTCCAAACTCATGTCCACTTCCATCTAGAAGGACAAGGGCAGCAGACACATGGGAACACCATCCCCTGTAAGATCCCCTCTGAGCCACTCACCATCCTGACTTGGAAATATGGATGCAGCCCTTCAGTTTTGATGGGATAACATTCAGAAGTTTATTATTTAAGAGCACGGTGGGGTTAACTACTGTAAATGGACGGCAGTGGTTCAAGAAGGGAACTCCATCCAAAACCTTCTTAAGGGGACAACTAAAGATAGGCAACAAATGCTATGCTCCGAAACCTTGCAATTTCAAATAAACCTGTTGGACTACAACCAGGTGTCATGTGACTTCTGACCTTGTCCATCCCAGTCTAACACCAGCACCTCCACAAGAAGGAGCTGGATCGAGGTTTTAGGGGCAAATACAGGGAATCAGGGGACCGAGCTGGATGATCAGCCACGATCCCATTGAACTGATGGAGCAGGCTGGAAAGGCCAAATGGCCTCCTACTATATATATTTCCATAATTTTCTGTGGCAGTGAATCTCACAGACTCCCCACTCTCTGGGTGAAGACATTCCTCCTCATCTCAGTCCTAAATGGTTAACCCATTACCCTGTGCTATTTGGCTCTCGGTCTCCAATATATGGTTGTGAGGTGCATAAGTGATTATAATTTGTCTCTATTCAGAATCTTTAACAGATAAAAAAGGAAAGGATAATAAATGGTACTCACGCCTGATGGACAAATGGAGCTGATTACTGCATTTCCGCACTTTACTGCCCGTAACTTTGCAATGGGAAGGACCCGAGTCAGCCAGACAAGCTGACTCAGAGATGTAATCGCTGTGGTGGGACGGAGACTGGAGAGGGATCCCATTTCTGTAAAAGCCGTACCGCAAGGAAGCTTCAGAGAGATTCTCTTCAACCAAGCACACCAGCTTAAACCATTGGCCATCAACTAGCTGTCCCTCAGGATGCACGGTCAGCTTAGGGACAGCGAACGCCTCTGGAAGGCAGAAGGACATGTTTCTGTTTCAGCTGTAGAGTGTCTGAGCTTGGGAAAGCTCAGCGATCAGAATTAGAGCAAGAAAATCCTGAGACAAGGTCAGCGCGGGAGACTCCCAATCAAGGCTTCTAGCATCATGTCAGTTCGAGCTCAGATTTGGTGATGACCACGATTGCATTTGGAATGAATATGTACAAATACAGCAAGAGGACTGTCTGGTTTAAGGTGACAGGGGAAAGATTAAAAGGGACCTGAGGAGGAACTTTCTCACACAGCGGGTGGTGCATGCATGGAACAAACTGCCAGA